CTTATACTGAGTACGAATTTACTTGAGTATCGGTACTAAGTACAATTGTACTTGGATTTTCTTCATTGTAGATTATTTCTACTGAGTTTCGAATCGTGTTTGTTTATTTGAATGTAGTTGGGCAAGATACTTTGCAAAGATTTAATTTCTTTTCGGATGTTGCTCCTTGTATGTACATGTGACTTTGTTAGATTTTATTTAGAAAAGAATTTGATGCATAATATTCTTAAAATATTGGACAAAATATTAAGAGTACTATTGGCGATCGAGGAATAGAAGTTTTATTAAGAAAAAATTAGGCACCGTCTAGCACAATAACTTTTTCTTGATACAAAAAAATAAGTAAAGATAAGCAAGTAAAAATAAATGAGTAAAAATAAGTGACTAAAAAACTGAATAAAGAACAATATGAATGACTGAGAACAAAAAGCAGCTGATAAAAACAATTAAGATCATGAGATACTTTACAATAAATGTTGATTAATTTTTAAGAATAACAAATCTTTGAATAATTGTTCATTCATGCGTGTTCGTCTTGAAGATAAAATTACACCAGCATGTGAAAAGACGCGTTCTACTGGTGCAGAAGAAGCTTGAACAGAAAAAATGCGTAGCACTAATTTTTTTAGATTATTCAAACGAGTATTTAACCAATATTCAGAAAATCTGGATCTCAAAGGATCATTTAAATATACTTCTAATTCATTAGCAGCATCCATCGATGTTGAATTATTTGATTCATCATTATTACTATCAGAATAATTAAATAACTTTCGTTTTTTTGGCTTTGGTGTTGATGATTGCGATGACGATGACGATAATGATAATGATAATGATGAAAAACTTTGATCAGCTTCTAAATATATAAAAGAATATAAATCTATAACAAAAAAAAATTGCGATTTTCTTGGAAGGATCATTCTCAAATATTTTCAAAGAGTTTTAATATTTAAAACCATGAAATGAAATTTTAAAATTTTCTACATCTATCTCCATCTATCCTCCACTTTTAAAAGTTGAATCATTGCAATCATTTTACGATAAGCTGTTGATTTCACCAACAGAATATTTTCTCTTTTTCTCTAGTCATAATGATGATCAATCACTAAGTATACATAATATTACTAGCCTTCTTTTTACACTATACATATAAGTAGTTGTTTGCTTTGAATTTCGCAGCAACTAAATGCTATCGAATACTGTTTTAGCTATGAAAAGAAGAATGCTTTTAGATATTAATAAAATACTTTGATCAGTTAAAATATTTGATGATGTTGTTGTATCTTTGCTAATATCATCGAGAATAAATTGAATTATACTTTGTTTTAAACGATTTTCAGCATTTGCTGGTAATTTTAAGTCCCGAATCCAATAGAATTTGAATGCAGGATCTAATACAGCTGCCATGAAATATACTGGATCACCAAATGGATCATTTTCTTCAATATCATTTTGATTTAGTCGCTTTATTATACCAGAAAAGCGTGTTTCAAGTGATATCTGGAGTTGTTGAACAAGTTTTGTACAAAATAAAATATTTTCTTTCATATCACGTAAATGAGATAATAGATGTACGACCGCTGGTACCACCATACTTGCAGTAACTATTGTTTCAGCTTGACACTTGATGGAAATTTCGTAAAATGGTTCTAACACATCAACAATTTCTTCCAAGACTATAAGATCATTATTTGAAAATTTAATTGAATTATCCATTAGTTTGGTTATAGATTCCAAATCATTTTTTCCAATAGACAGAATAGATTTTATCAGTAAATATTCACTATTCCATCTTGTAACATTCATTTTATTAATATGTTTATTAATTTCATCAAGTAAATCGCTCATTTTGGACGATTTGTGCGAGAACTTCGCAAGCACTCGACATTTATTAAGCACTCTTGTTATATTGGATGAGTTTTTTAGACCATCACGCACACATAATTGCATTGTATGTGCAAAGCATGATAAACGAACATTTGTTGTACCTTCAGGATCATCATTATCTTCATCATGATTTATATCAATCATTTGAATATCGTTTAATTCATGATCATCTATAACAAAGATTATCTATGAAAACTTATGAAAAGATTTTTGAAATAGATATGTTTTTATGTTTAAGAAAATTCTTGAAATCAATTTTAAATATAGAAGATCTATAAATTTGAACTTCAAAACAGAGATCTTTTTGATAGTAAGTAAGGTACAGTCGAGCCTTTTTATTATTAGTTCTCTTAAGAATATATTTGACAGAATAAGAATACTACTTACAATCATAATCATCAAATACTGATACCACTTCCGACATTGAACCACTTGTATCACCATGTTCATCAGCTGCTTCATCACCAAATAAACCGAATTTATATGCTTTAATCATTGATGATGCATTATCAGTAATTATTTTGAAAACCTTTTCCTTGATCTCAAATCGTTCGAGTACATCTTCAGTTAATTGTTTAATATTTTCACCGGTATGTGGAGATTTAAATCGAACAAAATCGAGTAAATAAGCTTGTGACATCATTTTGTGATCAAGAAAATGGCATGTAATGCCTAAAAAAGAACGACAACGTCGATCAGACCATCCATCAATGGTTAATGACAAATAATCAATTTTTTTCAGTGTTTCATGAATTGTTTCGAACACATCGTTCACAAGTGAAGGTATAATATCACGTTTGATTTTTTTTGCTGACATAGGTTCATACTTGGAGCAGCAATCTTTCATAAAATCTCGAAAGCCAGCACATTCCACTATATTTAATGGTAAATTGCATCGAATGATTAAATTTTTAGTTGTAGATAATATAATACGATTTTGCCTATGTGTTGATCTTGTTGAATCGGTTGATGGTATATTATCATTATTAACATGTTTTTGTTCCGATGAAAAGCTATCTTCAGGATTGAAAATTTGATCATATTCAGTTGAATGTGCTCGTTTTAAATGTTTGAGAAAGTTGCTAAAAATACCATTTTGATCTTTGTAGTTTCGATTGCATAATTTACATAATCCATTAGTTCGATTTTTTTCAATCGATGAAAATTCAAAATATTTTCTCCATGTTTGAGTAATCATTTTATATTAATTAAAAACCTATGAAAACGAAAAGTGGTGTAAAGATGATATTAACTAAAAGAAAATAATGGCTTTGTCATCTAATAACGATATGAACAAAGATATTTTTATACACTGGTCTTTGTGTAGAGGGCTGCTTGTAAAACAAGCATTTTCATCTATTCAATTTTACTAGAGAAAGTTTTAGAAAAAAAAGCAGTTTCAAATAATATATATTTATATGTGGTAATTTATCTTGTTAATTGACAGTCACTTATGGGAGTTATTCATAAAGGATATTCACTAAAATGCAATAGGAGAAGATCAGTTTAAACTAAATAAGTTTTCGCTTAGCAGAAGAAGCAAAATCAAGTACACAGGAACACGTAGAGTTTCTATGACTATTGTAGGTGTGTTGTAAAACGAAGTGCAAATAGTAAGTTCAGGAAATAAAAAGGTTCAATAAGATCAAAAAGGTTGGATGTAGGTAGGAAATAGAATAAAAGAGCTTTTCATTCAGTTGAATATCCATTATGAATGGTCACTGTTCATTGTAGATGTCAGGCATGGCCAGCAGAAACGTTAGATAAAGCGCTGCAGATATTGCTATCGGAGCAGAACGTTAGTATATTAGTATTGAGCATCTTCATGCAAGTACATTGTACTCAGTACCGGTACTTAAGTAAATTTGTACTCAGTACCAGTACCAAGTCCAATTTTACTTAAGTAAATTGGACTTAAGTAAAAGTCCCAAGTCCAGAAGTTAAGTAAAAAGTATTTGTACTTTTACTTGCTGTACTTGTACTTGTCCAATGTCTGAAGAGAAGACACCCACACGCACATCCACACCCCACACCCTAAATATTTAATATTTTGTAGTAAAGGAAACAGTGCAGTGAGATTTCCAACTCTACAGGAAGTGACTGCCAAATAGTCAAGATTGGGAATATGGTGGACGAACGAATCAGAAGCAAAAATAGTGTTGGCATCACTTATCGATAATTCTAATACAGTTAATTGTGAGCAAATGACATCATTGCTAACAATTGAACTCAAAACTTCAGCTGTTGTACCATAGAAATTGATTGATAAACGTTTTATTTGTGGAATTTTGACCATTTTTTCTGAAATGAACTTCAGTTGAGTTGCATTAATATTTTTTAGAGTTAATTTTTGTAAGTTGGGTGGAGATGTGAGAAAAGAGAAAACTCATACCCACATCCACACTCACACCCACACCCCACACCCACCCTCGTTGAATGAAGTGTTCCGTAACGTCATGGCATTTTTTTATATACTAAAAAATAGAAAAACAGCTAGTTAAAGGAAAGGCAAAGATGTGAACAGTTGAAAGAGCACTTGTATATAGCAACAATTCAATAGGATCCGTAGCCGTTGATCATTAGTGTAACCTTGGCGAACGATAAATACCATGGAGAGACCTTTGCTCTTTGCTTGGAAACAATGCTTGATACAAGCAGTTCGTTGTGGGCTATCTGGAAAACAGACTGGCCCACATGAACCTGTACTCTGTCGTCGACGAAGAGAGACACTCCTTCGGTATTACATTTGAAGTTGACTAAAGCAACAACGTCTCCATGCTGAGAAGGATCGACATATGCAATTATAGTGACATTCGATTCAGGTTTGACCACGTCAGTACTGAGATCGACTGTAGTAGAAGGTGAGGTTTGGCTGTTCTCGTATGTTAGGGTGGCGGTAGAGTTGTTGATAATAATGAGTTCCAAATGGTTCTCGGGAGGCACTGCAGCAACCACAAAGAAGACCGACAGAAGTGTGAAGATCAATGTGTGTGACATTTTACAGCCTTTTCAAAAAAGTTATAGTGATTTACGTACACGTAACTTCAAATGCTGCCGTCGATAATCGAGATAAATGACAAAGAGTATGCGAATCACGCCAGAGCTCTTTAAAATAATGTGTATAATACTTTCCTGCCAGCACGAAGCTCCTTTTATTCTGTCGCATAAGGACGGCGAGAGAGCTGATTGTGTTATCACATTAATATGACCATTGCTCTGTATGCGTTATAAATGGAAAAAAGCAAGAACAAACAAAAATCCTATTCAGTATTTCTTTGTTTGCGTAGGAAAGCAAAACCTTGTTCTTATTGATAACAACTCTGACATGGAGAAAGTGGAATGTTTTGCATTGAATTCCTTATCTCGAATGGGTTGTTGATGTTTGCTACACAGATTGCTCGACAAACCTTTCCATCTTGAACTTTTGATGAAAAAATTATGTTCAAAAGTTTAACGGTAATCCCAAAAAACCATCAGTTGGGAAAAGATGTCTCTTTAAAAATGAAAATTCGTAGTTCCAAATCGCTGAGTCATCGTTCGGCACCAGAAACTTTCTCAACCAGTCAAAGCCTTAGACAACACAGGCGAAGATCATTCCCAATGGGACCATCAAAAGTTCAGGAATTCATGTGCAAGAAACTCCCGAAAACCTTCCTAGATTCTGTCATTGTTCAAGCATACTAATGATAGCACCATGAGGGTGTAGGTGTGGATGGGTACGGGTGTGGGCGTGGGTTTGAGTGTGGGTGGGTGCGGGTGTGGGCGTGGGTTTGAGTGTGGATGCGTGTGGGTGTGGGTTTCGTGTGAGTTGTGGTGGAAATATGGTCCTTCTTTTAACTCACACCCCAATTATTATCTCAATATTTATTTTATTTAAATGAATATTAAAAAAATAAAAAATAAAAACTTACTATTTTCTACAAAACATGCACACGTAACCAATTTCCAATAAATTTTCGAATATTCATATGAATATGGAAATCGTTCAAATGAACAAACACCATAACGGCCAAATATTGAATATAAACATTTATGATATGATGAACTTTTATTATAAGCTCTGAATAAAAGAAATAAATTAATTTTAATAATTAATGATTAAAAAAAGCCTAAATAAAAATAAACTCACAAAGAAGATTTCCATCGATATGTTTTTTATAACATTCAACCATATGCATATTCACCAATTGATCATCACATTTTCCATGTTGACTATATTGATCTTTATAAACAAATTTTATTTATTCTCTTTTACAATTCAATTCAATTCAACTAATTTAAATAAATGAAATTCGAGTTTTTTTGTTCTCTTAAACAAATATATATCTCTAGAATTAAACTTAGTATTGATCATTGGAAAGATTATTTTATATAAATAAAAAACAAAAAATCGTTCAGCTTATTTTCAAAAGAATGAGATATAAGTTATCAATATAAAAGATGTTCTTTTACATTATCCAGATGGTTCGTTTGTCAATTAGTTATGCAACAATAAACAGTCTTGAATAAGATTTTTATTTGTCAAAGTAATCGATATTCTCTTCTAGACTTGTTCACTAGAATAGACTCCTAATTTATGTCATTCTATAATTAAACGTCGATATATAGTGAAAATTAGAATTTTATTATTCGACCTCATTTAGTTCTAAAACTGCAACCAATATTAAATTATTCAGAATTTTTCAATTATTTTTCAAAATATCTCTATTACTTTGTTAGTCATCGAAAATCAAAAATATTCTTTTGAACGAGATTAATAAATTGCATTCGTTGAAACATAATAAAAAAAACCATTGGTCAATATCAATATATCTGGTATGTATCTTCATCGAACAGTTCCTTCAATCGAATTGTTCTTTTTTTCATCATTAACTGACACGTTTCCTAGAAAAAAGCATTCATTCATTGTTGCACTATTCAAGTCGTTGTCTTCACCTAAAATAAAGCTAATAAATAGATTTTAAAAATGTAAAAATAATGGCGATGAATAAATCTAATTATCTACGAATTCACTGAGTCGATCAATCTAATTATGGAACGCGTTCATAGGTTTCGATGTTTTTACACGTTTCAATGGGGCCATTCTGTTTCGTTTTCTCATAGGAGAAAGGGTTTGGGACTATTAAGAAGAATACGAGACCTTCGCTCATTATTCTTTTTGCTGCACGTGGCTAACAAAAAAAATGCATTCTTTCAATTTGTATAAGACACTTCTATATTAGAAAAAATTTGGTTCATCTCAAAATAGTATCTTCCTTCTGGATAATGTACGTATGACAAGTTAGTAATAAACTTACAAAAACTGTTTTAAAAACTAGTTCACTCGACTGCATTGATTTTGACGAATAATATTCGAGAAAAATATACCAAATCAACTTTTGAGGTTATTCTTCAATGTTACAAACATTTCTTATCTACATAATAAATTTTTGATAAACAATAGTCTGTAAAGAGAAAATTTTCAGAATAATTTAACCTTATTCAAATAAAAAAATCGTAATATTCGAAATAGAATGGCACGGAGAAAAATTACAATCAATAGAATGAGTTTGCATTTACTTGTAGTTAAAAATCGATTCAGCAAATGTTAATAAGCTGATGAATGATTCGTTGCAAAACATTATTTAGAAAATTATCATCGATTTTAGTATTTGGGTAATTCCGTGGGGTTTATACCACTTTGTGGAAGTGATCTCCGATTTTGATTTTGATCCTCCATTTTATCGGAAGACAGTCTGGAAAGCATATAGCAAAAAAAAAATTACGAACTTGTCCTACAAATTTCCAGCGCTCATCACGAAAACGAGGTACATGTATGAAATCAGATAATGTGAGCAGCGAATTCGGATATTTCTTTCTGACATTCGCTGGCTCCATCTGTGTTGGATGCAGAATTAAATTCTGCATCGAATAGTCCGAGTTTCAAGCGGATCGCATCTAGTGGCGTAACCAGGAAATATTGGTAGAGGGGGCTCAGCCCTCAGCTCTTTTGAAGTAAACAGGTGTCCCGCAGTGGAGGGTTGTGGGGGGGGGGGTGACCCCCAATCTTGAAAAATTTTCGTTTTTTCAAGGCAAAATTTACGTTTTTTTCGATTTTTGTGCTCAACAATTTGCAAAAAAAGGCTTGTATTTCCCCAAAGTTCGGTCATCTTTAGAAAATTTTTTTAACGACTTTCTATATTATCGACCCCTCTTCCCCCAATTTTTCCGACTTCGGGACACCCCTGGAAGTAAAATATGGTAACTTGAGTTCTACTGAAACAATGCATGAAGACAATATAGAAGTTCAAATATTTAGTCCTTTATTATGAAAAAAAAATAAATGGAACATCCGAATGAATACAACTACCGCAGCATAATTCTACTATTTTTATGACTAATTGAAAACTGATCAATAACTTGTTCGAAATTCATTTGAAAATCACGTTCAATCGACAAAATACAAAGATCACTTAATCTTTCATCAGCTATTCTATTTCTTATACATGTTTTGATGAACTTCATTTTTTAAAAAACATGTATGTTTTTAAAGATACTGCCTTCTCTGCTCTTACACTAATTGTTACATATTTTTTTATTATAAGCGTGAAAAGGTTCAAAGAGCAAGCGAATATTCACTCTCTTGCTCTACTCTGTTAGAGAGAAGCAAAATATACAATACTTCATCCTCCAAATGCAGTGGCACAACCAGGATCTTTAGACCAATGGGCAAACCTCCATTGTATTGAAAAACCACGATGGGCAAAATGGGCAAGATTTTTATCGACAGGGCAGAACTTTTTCAACCTAATGAAGTACTAATAACTTAAAAAAGAGATAAAAATGAAAATGAGATTATTTTATTAATACAAAAAAGGAACAGGTGTTTTTATTGACAAAAAAAATGACATGAGATCCTTTTTTATCAAATGTACATGAAACTCAGATTTTAAGTCTGAGTCAAATGTGTTCTAGTGTATTTTAATGTTTCTTTCTGCGAAGAAAAATTACCACTGAATAACCTATTAGTGTTAGGTCGCTTTTCATTCAATATACGATAGTATTGGTGTGTTTTAAAACAGAACCACAAAATTGCAAATGCACAATTGTATATATGTATACTTGTTCTTTTCTTTTTTCTCTTTTGCCTTTGCTTATAATATATTATCCTAGGAGAAGAAACATGGTGACCAACTGAACAAGCTAAGCTATAGTTCGTTTGCCGTTATACCAGTCTTATAAGAAGAGACAAAAGCAAAAAGTAAAGAAAAAAAAATATTTACGCTTGTGAACAGGTAAAATTTCAATGGGCGAAAACTTACTAGTAAAATTTTCAATGGGCAATTGGCCCTTTGCCAACCCCTGGTTATGTCACTGTTCAGATAATAAAAATTTAACTTATTAAAATTGACAATAGAAATTTTCGTAGAGGGGGCTCAGCTCTTCTTAGGGGGGGCTGAGCCCCCCTCTGGTTACGCCACTACCTTTACTAGCCTCACCCAAGCATCTTTCTAGGCCTTCAAATAGCGGAAACCTGTTTGAATGGTTTCCTCATTAGACTAGTTCATGTATAGAATTTTATCAATCTATCTGTTTTATAGTATCTAAAGAAAAGTGCTTTTGATTTGAGACTATGCCCATTATATAGATTCAAATGAGGTATGAATACTCTAAGAAGAGTTCGCGTCTTTAACTTATTGCTATGGAGATACTGCATTTTAACATTGTTATTTTAAATGAGTGATAATAATAACAGAAAAACTGATTTTCGAATTTCGATTTAAAACTTTGCACAGGTCTTAACGAAAATAGTTTCAAATCTTTTGATATACTTCTATTCTGAAATAAAAACATCAAATCTGCTAGTTTATATGAGTGACTATTTTCGTTAAGATCTGTCTCTATGCAAAGATTCAAGTCGAAAGTTTGAAAATTAGTTTTTCTGTTACCATGGCATTTATTCAAAAAAAAGAATACCGTATCTTCATAGCAATACTTTTGCTCATAGTGTATATAATGATCCTCAAAAGGGTTTATGCCATTCTTTTCTATTTATAGTCATTTTACTGAACTTTCAGTCTGTTGTATGATATCCCGAGAAAATAAGCGAGATCTTTATAATTAAAATTTTCACGCCGAAATTCGATAGCTCCGTTAAATATAACAAATAATATTAAATCTAAAGAGCGAACTATTATTTCTTTTTTTTTAGCTGAAATTCCTGAAGAAACTGTTTTTTTAAGTAAACCACATTTCTATGGTCATAATTCATCGTCAACAAATATTAATTTTAAACCTAATTTTCATCAACATGAATCAACTATTTATTTTGAACCACTTACTGGTACACCGATTCGAGCACAACTACGTATTCAATTAAATACTAATGCTTGGATTGATCGACTTAGACTTAATCCTGATGGATCAACAGAGTATGAGTGAATCTTTTTTACAAAAGAAAAATAAAAACAAAAAAGATATTTTTTATTTTT